ATATGATTAAATATAGTGTAATTTATTCCTCTTTTTTTAAAATATCAATCATCGAAAAAATATGAAAGACGCAAAAGTTTATCTCAATAAAAAAATATTTAGGTAGTTTATTAATTAATTTTGACTGAAGAAAAGAATGAAGATAGACTATATTAAAACGAATGTTACAAGCTATCTAAAAAACCTATGAAGTCGCTATTAATAATCAGTATAAAATATATTCGATCTAAGTAACAACTTCGGAAAAATATTATATGCATAGTTGTTCTGAGTTCTAACATAAGATACATATTTTATTGTAATATATATCTCCTAGATAATGGTGATAAATCGAATCAGACAAATGGCAAGTCCACTGACCGTATAAAAGGAAATTACAGTATACGGCGTAATGGTACGATTGATGATCAGAAAAACATGGAAATATCCGACATGTAGAAGATATAGTTTTGTTATTCTTATTTAATGTTTGTTACCTATATGGTATTGATACAATAAGAAGTACATTTTCTTCCACAAAAAGTGTCATACCAAACATAACTTGATTATTTATTGTCAATTTTTGAAACGAAAGGCCAACTTATTTTTTTACTTATTTATTATTTAAAAATAACAAAGATTTGCAATTGAAATTATGTTACTGTATGCTAAAAATCAGGATAGCTTTATACAGGGCCGTATATACAAAAATAAAATTTTACAAGAAATTGTAATCTACCATCAAATATACTTATTCTTAGCAAGCAATTAACAAATATAGTATATTATCATTTAACACTTGTGAATAATTGAGTGGGTACGTGATAAACTCAATTAATGTGAAATATTAAATAATTGAGGGTACCAGAAACCGTTCTGTACGTATGAATGTACAGCGTAGCGCGCAGCTATTCGAGCTGTTATACTGGATCTTTAGGCTGGCTATTTAGTACTCTCTAATAATCGCAATTTAGAAGATGGTGATCTATGATCTTCGGAAAGACGGACTAGAAAATTAATCACATTGAAAAATGTATCTTGTCCTTGTTGCAACATGTCTCGAACTGACATCTCTTAGATATCCAGGTCCGCTAGGATAGTAATATTGTATGTACTAATATAGTAATCTATTTTTCTATTGTCAGATAACACTCACCACAGGTTCAAAGAAATATTAATATTGTGGAACCATAATTATTAGATTTCATATTACAATATTTATTTTCCTTTTAAAATAATGCACCTAAGAACTAAGCACGCAAGAAGCTATTCCATGTAACTCTGGATTGTTTCCTGGGATGGTCATGAAAGGTAGGTAAGTGCGATACGTGAAGATGAAATGATGTTATCACTCTGTTATGATCACTCACGAGTTACATTTATGTCTTTATTGAAGACCGCATCTCGTGTAGTAGGCGGGGCGGTCCAATGGCCGTGATGGATAACAGAACACCATACTATCATGTATGTGGGCTCAAAGGAATATCGGATAGTGTCGGGACTATTGTAGTTATCGTCCGTGGATCAGCTGCGACGCGTGTGAACGACAATATGAGTTGCATCGCATGACTAATCTACCCTCTTAGCATTCAAAGAACGAACTGAACTTTGTCGATAGCGTGAATCAGACAACGCCGCCGTGTAAATGATGGGGTTCTCATGCTGTTATGTCACCTCACTAGCCGTAGCGTAAAGTACTGAACTTTAATTGTATTCGTGATCTAACTATAGTTTTCGGTTCTAGAATTCGTTTAGGAATTTGTTTAAAATTCAAAGAGCAAATTCAATTTAGTGTTCAGTGTAAATATGCTGCTAGAAATATCACCTACTAAGGTAATATTTAGAAAACTACTTTCCCTCATAGATCCTTCGTTTTATAGCTATTGTAGCATCGTAGACCTACGGTTCGCCCGCATTACAATAACTTTACTCTTACTCAAGTAAAAAGCGGGGTATAACATTAGGAATAGATTTATCTGTAACCTTCACACTCCTTTTCATTATGAATTTTTATCAGGGTGTAAAAAAAAAAACCACAAAGGGAGTCGGTAAACAGTAACCAATCGCAATATGACTTTCCTCTTGTATGAGTTGTTCGTATTTATTCTATACTGGAGCTCGCTCAAAGCAAAATGTCCATTGGTGAACCACTATTCTATAAAGTCTGATCTAGGTATTGTTTTATTCTATGTTTTACTTCAATTTTTAAGGTAAACCGCATAAATAATATTTACACCTCATTAGTGAAATATAATAATTTGGTCGTGGAATAAAAACTCTTCGAAACATTTCACAATCCAGGAGTTCTGAAGAAGTTTAAATCTAATGCAATAATGTTAATCCTAAATAAAATGGAAAACACTAAAGAAGAAGATATTTGTAAGTATAATCGGGAATTACTTACACAGCTTACAAACGCGCCTTGAATAAATAATTTCGTTCACAACTAAATGATTGATTGATTACAAAGGAATGAACAGAATGGCATGAGTTATAACAGTGGTAAATTATTATACGAGCACACTGAATGATAGTAGAATTGAACAAATTTAATAATGCAGGTAAACAAACTGCTGAAATCTACCGACTTTGACATGGCTGTACTGCAGACAGCTCGCTACGGTTAACATACAGTTGAAACGTCGAAAGAGGTATAATTATATACTGTACTTGTTTTCCATTTGTTTTCATGTCAAAAATATGTACCTACTGAACGCGAAAGTTTAACTATATTAATTATTTACAAAATAAGTAACATAATGCATTGATCATTAATTTACTAATATTTCAGCAGAATTGCCCACATATTACAAATACCTTATAGACAAACATACATCTGAAATAATAATACTCTAAAGGTAAATTAGGTAAACGACAATAAACCTTTTGCTTGTGAATTAAATGGTACCAATTAAAATTACATTTTTTTTCTTTTAAATGCTTGATTCCTTAGATCACAATACAAAATAAACATGTATCATGTAGTTGACATAGACAGTGCACAACATAATATACTAATTCAATGTTTAACATAAATGTAGCAACATTAGCTTCGCAGTGCAAAAAGTTCGGTTTATCAGATAGAGACTGCACTGCACTTTGATATATCGGTATTGTATGTGAGCGGGAAAGAAAGTGAAAATCAAGTGCATTTAAATCAGTTTTTAATCAGTGCATGTATTTGTTATTACTATATGGATCTACATATAAAACATGTGAGGTTATATGAAACTGAAAATTTATCGTTGCAGTAATCTTAACGATTAGTCAGAGCGTGCGCAGCTTGCATTACACCATCTTGATTCACTAGTAATTCCATTAGTATGTTCATAAAGCTAGGCGGATTGGACATCGTCGAATTGGATCAAGGTAAAACTAATGAAGCGGCCAAAGACTGGCATAAAGGTCAAATAGTAATACAAGTATATTACCTACTTTCTGAATCACTAATACGACCAATAACTATATTTTTACGGTGTAGTAAAAATAAATTGCTTTTCTTCTTACTGATAAGAAATTAGACCTTTATGGAAGGAATAATATTTATTTACTATTATACTGAATAGGAATAATAGCATATAATATATAAATATTATAAAACGGAATATTGTTTTTATGCGTGCGTCAAAATACTGTCTAAAATAATATATATATGTACTTATTTATTAAGTAGACAAGAGAGAACTATGTGCTTGCATACAAACCCCGTTAGGAGTTTTGCAGGAGAGTACTGTAAATAATGTAAAAATTAGAAAACTAAAGCTTTTTATATATCTATGCATAAAACAATAATCAATAATCAGTAAATTACAGATACTAGACGATCATATGACTTGTATGGTACAAGTTCACTCTATATTATAAGGAACTATAAAAACCGATTAAGGATGTTTAAGACATTAAACTTGTGTGAATGTAGATTTCAAACAATTTTGCTTTTGATAAACATCACAAACATAATATTGGATTAATACAATGATTTTTGTAGCAGACTTATTTTATGTAAATTCTATAAAAAAACTAATAATATATTATTTTGTAATAATTTTGAAGAGGAAGTAAGAACTGAAATATATTCTTAGAGGCTGTTACAACATTCATCATTCGTATGATTCATCGACAGCAACATTGAATTTACTCCAAAGAAAACTACTATTCCAGTCATCTAAATTCAGACACCGAATGGAAGCGTGAGGCAGTTATAAGTTATACGGTAATAACGAATTCCAATTTGACTGTTCTCTCTCCAAGGTTGCCTACATTATGTACAGCATACTACACACCGTTATCTGAATAGTAAAGTAGCTATTTACTGCTCCTGAAATCCGCGTAAATTAACATACTTAGTAGTTTCTTGTAAACGTGTAATATTTATATTTTTATCATGCTTTATTACGAATGACAGCGGCATTATATTGTACAGTATTTACATCTTAATACATTTATAATATTAGTCTAGTAATATTTTTACATGCCTACAAAAAATGTATTATCGTCGTTTCAGAACAAGTAAAAACAATCATTTTGTATGTAAAACTGTCAAATCAACAAGTAACAGTATTTGGGATTCTGATATAGATTTTAAATACCGAACTATAGCAGGCTACGCAATGATAGATATATTGTGTGTCCACATAATTTCCCTAATGGCTTATTATTTAACACTTGGCCCCAAAGGTCGTACGTTGCGTTACATAACTAACAGATCAGACAAACACACTAATGCTACCTTGTGTAAACAGACAAGTTGCGTGTCAATATACCCACATACAAAGTAAACACTGTTCCACACAGCCAACGAAACATTGTTATTACTGTATCCTTACACACATCCATAACTCGCTACAGCAACGTCAGCAAACGTGTATTGACTGCCAATAGGCGACGTGATACGTGTCTAAAGCAAATAAAATCTATCCGATTCACTCGCACTTAAACAGGAATGTTGCGCGGGAATGAGACACGAAGGTTACTGCAACAGTTCGATAACGCCACAGGCTGCCATGACGCTCTGGTCGTTTCGTGTTTCGCCGCGTGTACGTCCGGCCGGCATCTTGTTCAGTGTATCGTTCGCGCGAACACAAGCTGGCGCGCATCGTGTTACGTAATTAGATAAATTCAAAATGACTCCTGTTCACGAAGATTGGTCGGAGGCGAGTTGCGTACAACTTATACGAGAGTTCAGAGCTAGACCGATTCTATGGGACACGAAAAATCCTTTTTTCTTCAAGAAAACTATGAAGCCAGAATTATGGGAAGAGGTTGGCCGATCGTTGAACGTATCTGGGGATGCTTGCAAACATAAGATGTCGATACTATTGTCTTCGTTCAGAAGGGAAAAGGCCAAGATTATGCGCAGTATTAAGGGTGGAAAGGGTAAAAATGTTTTCTTAATTTGAAATATTAATATAGACAGCGATTCAAAAAGAATTTTATTTTATCAACTAACGAATGGCATTATCCTGCGGAATAGCACCGAATAACGGGTAGCGGCATCACATGACGACGTTATGGGATTGTTTATAAGTACATGTGATGGTTAAAATTTACCGTAATTATACCTATTATAATGAATTCTAGTAATTCATACAAGTAAAACTGTTAATTACTATTATAGTATAGGGATATACACAATTATTTTTAAATAAGTCCATATCATTTCTTATATATACACTGGTTTTTTAGATCAAAATTAAATTATCCGTGCCCATGGCATACTCTATTTTCACACAAAATTTCATTTAGTCCTGATAAAGTTGTTTATTACTTTATCATGACAATTTGTATCAATTTCGCATATTAGTATGAATGCAACCCAAATTTATATAAAGGTTTAACCTTTAATTAAACATTTATATAAACTGGTATTTAGATTAAACATTTCCTTGTTAATTATACATTTGTGTATCATGTGCAATACAATGTTGTTATTATTTGTTACAGATTTAAGTAAAATGTACAAAAGCACGTGGTTCGCATTTAAAGAAATGTCCTTTCTTATGGACAAAGATACAGAAAGAAAAAGACAGTCAACGGTTAGATATTTTTAATTTTAGCATTAACATTTTTTACTAATATAATCGAAGACAATTAAAAATACAGGACTAAACTATTTACATCTATATTACAGGCCACAGATGACGACGACGAAGACGACGCTCCGACTCTTAAAAAAGTCTTATTAAAACACCACATTCAGCCACCAATAAGCAAAATGGCACAAACAAATCGACAATCGGCGGCGATTCACAAAGAGATATCGAAAATAATAAACAAAGTACCAGTTTCAAATGAAATGCCACAAAAACAAAATACGACTCAAACTATTCAACCCTCTCCTGGTCCCAGTGAAGTCACATCTGAGAGTGACGAAGAAATAAAATCGTTTGCAAATTTCATAGCGTTTAAAATGAGGAAATACCCGGAGGCGACAAAGAATGCGGTACAGCAAGAAATATGCAACATTATATTTAGAGCTGATCAAAATTATTTCGAAAAATGCTATGAACAATACATGGATAGCGACGATGACCCTTTAGACAAGACAGTGACACAGATACTGCAGTATGATCTTGAAACTCAACCAAAAATTGAAACAGAATCTGACATTAGTGATTAATGATAGTTGACAATGTAAGGATCTCATGTGACAGAGATAATAAATGGTCTACAAGCTAATTACTGGCAGTACAAAATTATTTTAAAGATTCCCTGAGAGAACAAAGTATACAGCCAATTTGAATTGTTCCTCAAAAAAGGATTTATGTTAAAATTGATATGGAAAAGGAATATAAGTACATATATACATAAAGATGAAAAATAATCGTGAAATTCGATGCGAAATTGGAGAAGATAATGCGTAACATACATCCTTCTTTTGTAAAGGAAAATAAATTATGGGTTAATCAGAAACATCTTTTAATTTCAATTTTGTATTCCGATTATATTCAGATATTTTCACACGACCACAAAATATTGAGATAATTATATTCGTTTCTTAATTATTCTTTAATAATAATATTAGTTTTATTTATTATACAAATATCACACTAGCATTGATAAGGACTAAGTAATGCATAAACATTGGCAATTATACGGCTTAAAAGTTTAAAATATTTCACAAACAACATCAAAAATTATACATCTGTCATGGTCATGTAATATGTCAAAAGTATTTTTAATCGTAAGATTAGGTCATTTTTTGATATTCAAAATTTATATGAAGATTTGTTATCTGAACATAGATAAATGTAGACAAAGAATACTATATATTCCTGTCGAAACTTAGCATTATGGTGTCACAAGTATATTGAAATACCATTAATATAGATCTAGAGGCAACTTGACGCACTCGTCCCACCTAGATTCCAATTAGCGGCGCATCAGTTGGGCTAAAATAGTAACTTGAATTCGCAATGGAATCTAAACCTACTTTTATTTATATAGTTTTGGGCTACTCTGATGCTGTTGGACGCAGCTGGCTTTACAGTTTCACCAGACTATACAGTGCGAGTGCAAATTGCACTCCAAAATCCGTAGAAGGACTTATGGAGCGGCAGAAGGCCAAATCCCGCGTGACAGATACGACTTTAGTCTGAGGGCACCCGCTAGAGGTTCGAACCTAGGCTCTTAAATTGGACGGGGGATCGATCGGAGGGAATGTGTACGTATGTGTATAGTAACTTTTGTGGATATGTATGTATAATCGTTAGTTTCCTAAGTGACTGAGGTCTTTTTAAGTGATTCCAAAATAGAGGTCTGTGTTTTTGTGTGATATGGTTATTAGATCATTTATCATCGGTAATACCCGGTCGATTTTGATTTTGAGATTATACTATGGTTACGTCCATTTCATTTTTTGTGTTGGATTTCATTTTCTTTTTCATTACTATAATATATATTTCATACTATAATATTAACCTTTATTTTAGAAAGTTTTCAAATAGTTAATAAAATATTTTTATATGAAATCAGTCCAGTACATAAATTTACCTTTTAAATTTAACTGTTACAAAACGTGAAACCATTTTAGACCGCTAGTTTATAAATTAAAGCCATCAGTGAGTTGGTCCGTAATGTAGCTAGAGCTGAGTAAAGGATAATGTGTAATGAGATGAGAATTTTATGCCCTTGGTGTGTAACTCAGTACCTAACATATACGGAGAGTGGACACTGGACATGGGCTTATACAGAAACGAGGTTACGTTTATTTTTGGTGTGTGTTGTGAGTTCTCTCTCTGGATGTGACTGCGATTACTCTATCAATCAATTCGCACAAATTCATAAAATCATAATTTGTAATGAAATTATATTTACAGAAAGATGACGGAATTATATAGCAATATAAATTGTCACCATTCTATCACTTTTAGGATCCTCAAAACATACTCAATGTAAGGACAGATCGAATTAAAAACCTGTACCCAACAAGCTACAGTTCGAGAGAGCATTAATTGATTTTAAATAATTAATAACAAAAAATTACCAAATATGTATAAAAAAATTATTTGTACAATAGTTGAATTCTAAAAGATCATAATAACGCTCAACATTGTGACTCGTTGACATTTCCGTAGGAAGACCACACGTACATAGTTCAAAATCTACATAATTCCAATTCACAACAAGCTACAACCAGTCAACAATTGTGAAATAAAGCAGAACACGGTCCCACGTGCACGTACAAATCACTGATAATATAGTGAAAAAGGTCACGAAGTAAACGAGTATTGTAAAAAGTGTAATAGAAAAAAGCCTTATCACTCAAGAAATTTAGTTTATCGTGCCAACGCCCTCATGTGATAGCATCGCAGTTGACAACGGGTACAAGGAATTGGGCTTTTAGAGCCACGCGTTTCATTTCAGGCAATTTGTATTGTGGTTGTTTTATCTCAACGACGCTATTATTTACACAAAATCCTTACTTATGTTATATTTTGTTTATTTATTTCTTTATTGCCTTCATACGCCTTAAATGGACCCAACGAATTGTCATTAAATTTAAAATAAAATGAATAAAATTAAAAATATGTAGAGACAAGGCACTTTTTAATCGTGTCAATCAATATGTCCTGGTCATGCTGATGAAGTCATGAGTAAAACTGGAATATTAATAACTATTAACCGCATCAGCCCACAACTTGAAGACAGGTCGTTAGGTGTTGCATTTACATAATCCATAATTAATGCAAAATTTTAATCAGTTTCACAACAAGAGTCTAGGAATCGTGACATTCATATTTACCCCATAATATACAAAACTTCAACAATGAGAGACAATTATAACTGTCTTGTCTATTAATGTAATAAGTGCAATAAAGTATATATACAAATTATCTGTTCTTGAAACTATAATTATTTCAATCAAAATGAGTATCAAACAAGACTTTTTGACCTTATTATTTACATGAGGTTTAGAATACATTCCTCATTTATCATTTATGACTCAGCAAAACAATACGTGGTCAACTAAATAGCATATAATAGGGCATACCTTTTATTGTGTTGACACATTGAACCTTATCGAAGCGTGTCCAATACAATTAGTCGCAGTGGATGAATCAGAGGGGCCAGGCATCAATATAAGGCCTGGCCCTGCTGATTATTATAATCCCTTTAACCTTTCAAGTTCATGATAAGAAAATAAATGTCGAAATAGAAACTGTAGCCAACAAAGAGATAGAAACGCAGAATTGAGGACCGAGCGGGATTACGTTAACGAGCTCATAATAGGATTACGTGCGTCGATGTGTCCTAGTTTCGTAGATGCACCGTTACCAGCCCACACTCGTCAACTGCCTGTGACAATATAATGATCGTGTATTTATCTATTGGTACATTTATCTATTATGCACTTACATTGGCAGATGTCTATCAATGTATGCGGGCGCATCGATCGTGTGGAGCCCATAACAGGAAATGTTATCTTAGTTCGTGACTCCGAAAAGGCGGTCTATGAAGTTCTGTGACATATAGATATTAAAGAAGGTGAAAGTCCTCGGGTGTGGCATGTGAACGATGACAAACTTATGGTGGAAACTATAATTTACGATTCACATCACGCGGTGTAATTGAATGAACCGACGCGTTCATGGAGCGCGTGCTATTTCACTCGACCGTGACTCACGAATTAGAGCTCCGTCGAGATCGTAATTATACGAGATATTTCGTGCACACCCACTCACCCAGACCCGGATAGATAAGAAACGTACAATATAACATGATAATTTAATCAGGGTAGAAATTAAGGCCAATAAAGAAAAGTATTGAAAGGAAGTAGTGTTTGATGAGCTCCTTGGTAATTAGATATGATATTGTTTTTCTAACAACAACAATTTTCGCAAGCAGTAAGAAAAAGGTTGTTAACAATGGTGTAATTGTAAATATTTTCCCAGTCAATATTGTGTTCGAAAAGAGCAATAATATCTAAAAGACATGGGAAATATTGCAATGATGCCATTGTAACTGCGTGTGATAAAAGTCCTTATCTGTGCTTTGTGGAGACTGGAGACCTAAAATACTTTGCCACTTATAACAGGTTAACAACAGAACACTGATTGGTATCGTTTGATAACTTAAAGGCAATTTGTGTTAGTAGAGAACAAATATTAAAATTACTTAATTTATAGAAAATCTGAAATAGTCAGGCTACTATTATTTATAATTCGAGATACGAAAGTAAAAATAATGACATTATTACTTACTAATAAATTAAACAGTGTTGCTTATTTCGGCATAATCAGGGAAGATATTTACGTGAATAGTATAATAGTATAGTTATAGTATATTATAGTAGTAGTTATTCATTTGACCACGTAGTGCCATCACCCTTTTTGCGTCAATATTCGAATATACTAACTGCGGTATGGCTACTACCTTTGCTCCCAATTATTACCAGCTAAATCAATCGTCACCAACCTAGCCGCAGGTCCTCTTACACTACATATGTATGCCGTGTGCTCCTTAAATTTCTGTAGTAAGTGTTAAATAATCACCATAACAACAACCCACTAGTTTCCCTCATTGCTAGACAATAGTACAGAGTATGAGTATATGACATGGGGCTCAATCCTTATTACGGATTTACCAATACATTCTTCCTTCATTCACAAAGTGAGGACATTGGGCTATTATTACAACTTGAAAAGAAAATTGTTGGATAGACTAAAACCATAATTTTATTGTAATGCTGCAACCTAATTATTTGTAAAAATATGATAATGTGGAACAACAGTAATAGCTACCATTAAACACATTCTCCTTAATCATCAGATAAGGAGCACAGATTAAGATAGAAAGTAGTGTAACAAACAATAGACAGTAGTGCAGTAGGCGACAACGTTCTATAATTAAACAAATTGATGAAATTTGAGAAAAATGTGCAAATACACAGTAAGATGATCAAAAATATATTACACTTGCACAGTAAATAGGCTTACCATTAACATCCTTTAAATAGTTTATATTGTGTACAAACCAGGAGAGTGCACCTCTCAAAACACTAGTTTTTGACATATCATTAGAGAGGTGAACTCTCTCAAAACTGCTGTCAAGGATTATCCGTCTAAATTTGTAGATTATAATATAATCTGATAAAGTAAAATTTGGGTGTACAATACATGTACCAAGCATACATAAATAATGATGGCGACCATTGAATCCACCTTGCTCATCCACCAACCGGCGCTCGTCCGTC